TCACATTGCACGCTTTATTTATGTATATGATGTGAAATAAGCTTTAAAAAATAACAACATATACTTAGGTCGGTTTTAACATGTAAAAGTCATTGCATAATTATAATTTTCATTCATAAAATACGGCCTCAAAAGTACCCTTTCCCCTGATTTAGGTATATTGCGGTTGCGGCTAAGAATAAGTCATATATATGCTATGAGAGAACATACCAAGGGAATGTCAAAAACATCAGAAAATTTCTTCATTTATCCTCATGTTTTTAATGTTTCTGAAGAAGTGTTTGCTGTAATGTGGGAAAACCCGCGCCTAGTTAACAGGGCTTCGGGATAATATTTACTGATATACATACTTGTTTATACGATCTATTTCAAGTAAACATCAGTTTCAACATTGTACGTCACGCTCCGTAGCATTTTTTCCAACTGAAACATCGATTGGATACATTATGATAAATATTGAATAAGGTTTTACAATTAATACAATTTTCTTTTTGGAATACATAGGCATCTCTTGACAGTCAAATTTAACAAGTAAATGTGAGACTGCCTCCTTGGCCTAGTGGTCGCAAGTGCGACTTCCGAGCAAGGGGTCTCGCAAAGTACTTAGTACTGGGTTGTTTAAAAATTCTCAGTAGTAGCACGGAGTCTGGAATCGTGCCCCGTATATGGCAATAGGCTCACTCCCTATTACATGGGACTCTTAACGTAAATAGTGAAAAGTGAGTGTAACATTGTAAATGTGAGACCTGTTCTCAGAACTAAGAGTTTGTACTTGTAGCCAGTTCGTAGCCCATTTCAGTAGATTATGCTAAGTGTAACACGAATTACTGAAAATATGTAACAACGAAAGCGATGAAAACTCAGAAACCTTTGTCCCTGAAGAAAAGATTAGTTTAATCCAGGAGCGTAGCCATCGCTGTATCTGCAACATCCATCATACCTAGGCCCCCAAAACGTGCGCAAGCAAAAATTAATAAAAACTTCCCAATGTTTGATATTATGTCAGTAATTACAAAAGTCAAATTAAACAATTTTTCTGGCGTAAAGCACGCGTTCAAAGTTTGGTAGAAAATGTTGAAAAACTAAAATAATCATAGTCCGATAATTTGGGCAGAGAGAGTTTACCAGAAAAGCTTTCCGATTTTAACAAAAAATATTAGTATTTTATGCAAAAAAAATCACTTGTGAGTAATCTTTACCCTTCATAAGGGACACCAAACATTTTTTTTATACGGGGCCCCCGCCAAGGCACACTACACCAATTTATTTATTTCAATTAAATAGTATTATATTACAGTCATAAAACCAAGGCGTTATACATTTCAAATAATTATAAAAAGAAAAAAAACAAAATAGAATCGTCCTTAAACGACAAATTGTAAATTTGGTGAAAAAATATAAAACAAACAATAAACCAATGGTTTAAATAACCGCTTATGGGGCAGACAGAGGTGTAACGACCAGTTAACCAGTTTAACCAGTTATTTAAAGAGTCCCATGTAATAGAGGGTGAATATATACCGGGCACAGTTTCATGACAATTTCAGGCGTTGGTACTAAAAATTTCCAATAACATTTGTTAATAGATATCGGTATGTCTATGAAAACTTGGATTACGAAATGATTATTAAAGACATTGGTTATGGACGTGACCGTTTAAGCTACACTAGACAATTATTAAGCCCAAGAGACTGGCACAGGGAAGTAAACCCACGTGTAGGTACACACACACACGTGTCACTAACTATTCGGGAACTATCGAAACTAACTGTTATTTTTACACTCGTACATTCTTCCGTAACTATCGTATTTGCCATTAATATGCTTTTGACGTCAACCTGTAAAATAGAATACCTATTCTTTGTTACCGCACCAAGAGCTAATTTAATATCATAATTGTTAATAGTGAAAAAACTCGTTTCAATTATTTTTTTCATTACCTATTAATTACATTTACAAAATAAATAATAAACATTGACGTCAAAGGCGCGGTCGTTTACATCATTACATTAATTGGTAATTCTAATTATGTTATTCTTATCCATTTTTGTATTGATGGAAATGTATGATATATGGATTAATTAAAGTACACGCATATACGCATACGCATATTTTGTGCGGTTTTGTCTAATAATATTATTATTTAATTTTTCCTATATTGTAGGTAGGTATTATTTGTGTGATCGCATTTATATTGGATAATGACGTCTACTAGCCTTCGTTAGATCATTGTGTACTAAGTACATAATGTATTGAATTGTATTTATTGTTATTCGAATCAGGTGAGCTCACATCATTACTTAAATTAGATTTCTATGGGATCATTACTTAAAACGTGACTCAGTGTCGGTGGTAGGCCTCGTAGTGTCTCTACGTGGTCTGTTTACCACAATATTATATCAGCACTCAGTATAAATGTGGACATTTTCGTAATAATTGTAGACATGAAGGAGTCATTCATAAATTTTGCTGAAAACAAAAACAATGATAAAAGTCGTACCTATATCGATTCTGATAACATTTTCAGGAATACATGTCGGAGTGAATCACTGTTGGTCTGATATTTTTAAATTAGAAACTGGTCATAATGAAACCTGAAATGAAATCACTTGTAATATGTAGACATAGTGACATAGAGAGGCGAAATAGTGGTCAAACGTCAGTCCCATCTAATATATAAAAGAAACATTAGTAAAATAAAATTGTTACCTTTACAACTGTACCTAATATAGAAATGTATTTCATGAAAGTAGCGGCGTCTTTGCAACATTAGATGTTTGCAGTGTAAATTCACCATGTACCTTGAAAGGGTGATAAACCTTGGATGCGAGGTGACGTGTAAGTCAGCTGAGAGGAGACAATATCAGTGTGTACGGCGGGGGCAAGTGAGGGTAGTGAGTAGCCGTGTGTCGTGACGTCACGGAGCGCCGCGGCCGCGGGCCCGGTGCCACTCGCGCAGGGGCATTGCTCCGCCACGTCATACATCGCAGTACACTGCCCCGCCTACCAAGTATTCTTCACAAAGCGATCACTGCGCCCTTCCCTTCACCTGACCCAATTCCCCCACCGATTCTACAAGACACGAAAATAGGTTGCAAGCTATTTACAGCACTAAACCGTCTATCGAACACTAATGTTGAATATTTATGCACGTATTGGTGTAGCAGGTGCATCGTATTTACGCATGATACGAAATGCAGATTTATTTTTAAAGTAATCAGAATATTTGGTGTATTGTACTCGTAACCCACATACCTTGAGCATGACAACCATGACAACGCTATTGATGGTACATTGTGTACCTACGCGTTATTGATATTAAGGAAAAATATTGTTTTGAGGAAATAAAATTGTTAGTTTACATCATCGCTGTAAGAAAATCAGATAATGAAAACATATCTGTTACTGAAAATAAACAAATCAATAAAAATTCAGATAGGCACTGTCATATACATGTGCGCCTATGAACTAGTCGTAAAGATAAAAAAAATAGTACAAAGATTTCGTTCTTTCTTTACGTAAAAGCGTTTGCCACAATCTCTACGCTTTGGAGGCGAGTTGGAGAGTTACAAATCACAACACACCTTCAAGGAAAGAGCGTATTCTTTTTTAATAGGCCGGCATCGCACCTGTGACTCCTCTGGTGTTGCGGATGTCCAGGTGCTGATCGCCATCGCTCACCATCACGCAAACCATCAACTCGTTTGCCTCCTACTCCATAGAAAAAAAAACATTTAAAAAATGACAGGTTTATCAGAGAACGCTAATATTCAGTCTGTCAAAATGTACTATGTCTTACGACATCTGCGGTAAGATAAAGGGATAGTGTCGTCACAGCTTATTATGTTTATTACAAAGACTTAATTTTGTATATTGACTAATTAAACAAAGGTAAACAAAATGTGCAATGTTTCCTTTAGGGCAGTAACAGGGAAGAGTCATCGTTATGAGTCCATGTTATCATATTAGTGGAACAATGAGTCAGCTTTGCGTGCACGAGTATACGCATAGAAATCTTTAACAATTAATTAAATTTGTCCTTCAATTAAGTTCCACTACAAAGGTTAATGCTTCCTGTTAGTTGACGGCAAACTATAGGAACTATAGGAATGTTTTATAAGGGGAATAATTTAATACTTAACGGTAACGGTACAATTTATCAACATATAGGTAAATCATGAATAGGGATATATTGTTATTAATAATTCATTTTATCAGTAATTCCATTAAAATTCCTCTTGGATGCCTAACCTAACCTTAAAAGTTTCAAAATATTCAATTTTCAAAATCAGCATCATCAGTGTATCGCAATCCATAGCTGCAGTACAGCTTTTCTCAACACGAGAGATTTCTCTTCATAAGCGCGGTGGAGATTGTTTTACTTTAGAGTTCAGGTTTATCAGAGAGTACTGCTAGGCCTCTGTCAATATGTATAATACCTTATCTAGTTTTTGCGACACCCCCCAGAAAAGTAGGGCCATGCATTTACAGTCATATGTCGGTTCAAGTTCTCGTTAAGCTACTGAAATAATACTGTAGTTTCCACACATCTTGTTAGCGGAATGCTGTGAAATGCATTGATTTGCAGTGTACTTTCTACAATTAGCATTACAATGTATGACACTTTCTATTCCTTATTATTACTTATTAGCTCTTGGAACACTAATTCAAAAATTGGAACACAAAACCTAGTTTGTGGTCGTGAATGACCCTCAATAGGCATGACGCATTTAATCAATTTAAACTGAATAGTTTGTTTATGTTTAACTGCCTAATGTCTGCTTATACTTCCCTAATAATATGAGTCCCTAGTACCTTTAATACCTTAATTTGGACATGACATGATATTATTGGATGAGTAATTTATTGTGTAGCGGCACATGTCCCGTCCCCATAGACCCTCAATTTTTAAATAAAGGGTTCTATGTTGGACATGTACTTGGATTACAAAGAGTAGGAAGAAAAATGTGTGCTTATTGATTTTTTTCATATTGTTTCAGCCCTCCGGCTTGTTAGAGCATCCGTTGTCATACAGTTGTATGCAGGAGGTGTACTGCATCTCACGTTGGGATCCTGCAAGGAAATACTGTCTTCGAATAGTCATGCCTCATGGATCTCTTCTGCTACAGGTATAATTCTATAGGAAGGCATTAGGTTATTCCTGATGCATAGAAAATATGCATATTCTTGTCTAGTTTACCTAACAATATCATACTAATAAAGATGTCTGTATTTTATAGGCTAACGACGCTTATACGCGGGACCAATGGTATCATTCCATTATATGGAGGGTGAGTAGATACTTACGTATTTCCTTCCTGTTGTGGTTATGTCTAATTGTTTACTTTGCACGACATATTCTAATATATACGTTCATTTTACAGAGAAACATGATAAGGTACAAGAATTTCCTAACAAAGACTGTGAGAAAAGAAGTCGTCTTGAAAGAATTAAAGGTAAATATTAATTCAATTACGGGGACATCCCTGTTATCAATTTAGGCGGTTTATTCATGTACAATATTCATTAATACAATTTATATGTTTCCAGAATATGGTGGACTTTGTAATGACTACGCCTCTACAAGACGAAAGTGTGACTCGCGCGCCTCTACAGATCCTGACCGATTTACTATCAGAGGTAAAACTTTATGCAAATAAATAGAAATCACGTCTTCATAAATTGCTGAGCAAAATAGACGTGAATAAACTTTAATCTTATATGCGAGGTGTGAAATCTGCTTCACACATGAGCATCTTCAAATTGATGAGAACAGTGTGGTACAATGTATGTGTATGAACATTGTGTGAGTTCACTACATGAAATGTGATTCGTGATCTCCTCATGTAATCGATTGACGTATACTCGGTATCTAACACTAGGTACCTACTTACCCACCCACGTCTGCTATTCAATCGCAGTCGCTTCCCACAAATATTTAATATTATAATCTTAGTAAAGAATGAACAATTTCACCATTCATGACGGATGCGGTTTGTTTCTTGTTCTTATCATAGATCATGCAGGGCACTCGTGGTCAAATATTGACACTCGTATTACAGTAGTCTCCTACATCTCATATGCGTGTAAGATGCATAAACAACATTTGCTCAAAACATACATTGTACGTTTATTAACAAATCGTTACTAATGACGGATTCTGAGACCACTTGTTCAAACGTCAACCGAAATTTAAATCTGTGTCAAATAGAGTTTTAGTTCCAATTTTGTAACTAGATGGTGTTGTTAGTTTTAGTCCATTTTCTGAATCGCGGTGTTAAGATTCTCCGCCGTTCAATGACCCTCGGCGAATGTTTTATAATTGTTCAGTTCAAAAGTAGATCGCAAGAAGATTGTACCTAAGTGTTAATAACAATATACAGTTCAAAGTACATAAAACAGTGGTGTGATTGTGTAGTATCCCTGAAGAAATCCCTGTTCAGCCAGATTGGCAGTAGTTGTAAAGTTCTAGTGCGCCGTGACCAAATTATACATTGGTCCTTGTGAGTCGGATGTGACGTAGTCACAGTGAGTGGTTGCCGAGAGGGTGCCGTGCCAACACAGTGGTGGATCCACTGCTGATGGCGCCAAGGTGCTGGTGAGTTGTGGCACCGGGTTCAACACCCAGTACGAGCACACCGGAGCGGAGGTTGCGGCGAAGTTCGAGTGATGGAGCCAGGTGAGTTCGAGTGGTGGAGCCGGGAGAGTTCGAGAGGTGGAGCCGGGAGAGTTCGAGTGGAGGAGCATCAGTACGAGGTCAAAGTTCAGTGAAGTGTTGTGAGTACAATTCAACATAATTTATAAACATAGTTCAAGAAGGTCATCAGAGGGAAGACAGTTATTTTATAATTACTTAGAATAATTTTAGTTAAGTAACTAGGCAATTTACGTTTTATTAATTTAATGTTTTATTATTTGATAGTCTGAAATAACTTGTTATGTTCGTATGCAATGCAACATATTTTGTAAGTTCACTTTGTTAGTTGTTAGAACAGATTGTTCGAATACGTTGTTGGCTTTATTGAATTGTTTTCTAAGTCATTGCCATGGAATCTTTATTTAAACTACAAGATGATGTAAAAAGTAGTATTGAAAAGGGGAGAAGTAATTTCAAAAAATCTCCCAAAGAACGAGTAACTCGTGGATATGTAGAAACTAGATTGGAAAATCTAGAGCAGCAATGGTCTAGATTTTATGATACACATCGGAAAATAATTGAAAAAGCCACCGTAACAGATTTGAAAAACAATTATTTTACATCCGAATTGTATGATAAGACAGAGGAAATTTATTTAACGTACAAGTCAGAGTTAAAAGACAGTAATTTACAGTTTAACATAAACGAACCTTGTACACGAACCTATTCTGCTTCGAACGTTAGGTTACAAAAAATTAATGTTCCTTCATTTTCGGGCAAATACGATGAATGGACTAGTTTTAGTGATCTTTTTATTTCGCTAGTTCATTCCAATAAAGGTTTAGATGACGTACAGAGGTTACATTATTTGAAGGGATGTTTGACCGGTGAAGCAGAGCAGTTGCTTCGTCAAATACCAATTACTGCTGCGAATTACTCAGTATGTTGGAAGCAATTGGAGCATCGGTATAACAATAAGCGACACTTGGCGAATTCCATTCTGCAACGGCTATTCAACCAAAAACGAGTAAATACTGAATCTGCGGTTAATATTAAACAAATACTGGATACAACCACAGACTGTATGAGTGCATTCTCTAACCTAGGGATTAGCATGACCACCATTGTGGAAATTATTGTAATTCACGTAGTCTCTGAAAAGTTGGACCCAGAGACCCGTAAGCAGTGGGAGTTGAAGGCTTCCGACGAATCAACAGTTGAACTTCCAACTCTAGAACAGTTTAAAATATATCTGGAGAGTCGGTTTAGAGCACTTGAGTTCATTGAACCACAGCGACCATCGGGTCAGTGGCGAGCTGGTCCACGTACAGAAAGATTATCAGGTCAGAAAACTTTGCTCGCTCGGAACGTTAATCTGGACCATCTGGCAATTTAAGATTAGTTGTGAATTTTGCGGCAACAACCATAAGTTATGCTTTTGTGTACCGTTTACAAAAATTAATGTAGATGAACGAAGATCTTTTGCAAAGTCAAATAAAATTTGTTTTAACTGTTTAGGCGGAAACCATTTAGTTTATCAATGTAAGAAAACAGCGGTATGTCATATTTGCGGCAAGAAACACCACACTCTCTTACACGCTAATTATGAACATAACGCTAAGGAAGATAAGCAAACAGCTGCTAGCTCCTCTTATAATACTTCCACTGATAACAGTCCAGTTGTGTCATGTCTATCGACTAAACACATCGTCAGTCCTAAACAGGTATTGTTAGCTACTGCGTTAGTTCAAGTTCAAACTGCCACAGCAGAATTTCAGACAGTTCGGGCCTTGTTAGACCAGGGGTCCCAGGCTTCCTTTATCACGGAAAGTACAGCACAATTTTTACGATTAAAGAGAACTCCAGTTAGAAGCATTGTTTCTGGTCTAGGTAGTGTCAAGTCACCCGCGAATTCAGTTGTAACATTGACATTAAAATCGTTAGCTGATCCTAGTTTTACAATAATGGTAAACACGTATGTTTTAAAAAATATTACATCATATATACCGGAACGACAAGTAGCCCCTCTTGATTGGTCGGAATTAAAGCAACTTACGTTGGCAGACCCACAGTTTTCTTCACCTAATAGGATAGATATTTTATTGGGTGCAGACGTGTATGGTAAGATACTAAAAGATGGTTTAAGGAGAGCGCCTAATGGATCAGTAGTAGCGCAGTGTACCACGCTAGGTTGGATAATTTCTGGTGAAACAGAAACTAGGTCGAGTAACATCGCAAATATCACAGTCATGCATACAGCAATGGACCAAAACGATATTCTGAAGAAGTTCTGGGAGATTGAAGATCAGTTGCCACAAAGTATTACGTTAACAGAACAAGAGTTAAAATGTGAAGAGTTATATAAAGCTACGACTACAAGATGCGCAGACGGTCGATACGTAGTCAAGTTACCATTTAAGGAAGCAACGCCCACCTGCGGAGGTGGTAACAGTAAAGAAATAGCTGTAAGAAGACTCAAGGCATTGGAGAGAAAATTCACGAAGGATTCAAACCTGAAAGAAAGATACACGAAAGTTATAGAAGAATATTTACATTTGAATCACATGAGAAAAGTACAGATACAAAGTTCAATGAAGCAGCTTACTTACCTCATCACGCAGTTGTCAGAGAAGATAAATCCACAACGAAGGTACGCGTAGTGTTCGACGCATCCTGCAAGAATGAAAGGGGAGTGTCACTTAACGACACGTTGATGGTGGGACCTACCTTGCAGTCGGATTTGCGGCATATCGTCCTTCGCTGGAGAGTTCACCAAATAGCAATTACTGCAGACATAATAAAAATGTACCGACAAGTGAGAGTAGCAGAAAACGATGTAAAATATCAGAGAATAGTTTGGCGAAAAGAGCCACATGAAGAAATGCAAGAGTATGAGCTATTGACTGTAACCTTTGGTACAGCTTCAGCTCCTTATTTGGCGGTTAAGACATTGCACCAAGTCGCATTGGACTATGTGCAAGAATTCCCCACGGCATCTGAAATAGTGCCAACAAGCTTTTATATGGATGATTTAATGACAGGATGTTCCACAATAGAAGAAGGTAAACATTTGTATTTTGAAATGAAAGCATTATTAGCAAAAGCAGGATTTGAACTACAAAAATGGAACAGCAACAGTTCGGAATTATTAGGGGAAATCGAGTCATATGAAAGGAAGGACGAAAAGGAAATATTAAGCGATAGTACAAAAATATTAGGACTTACCTGGTGTCGTAGTGCAGATCAGTTCAAGTACACGGTGCAGCTCCCACCAGCATCTGAAACATTAACTAAACGTATTATTATATCGGATATCGCACGCTTATTTGACCCTTTAGGCTGGATAGCACCCAGTATAATACTAGCTAAAATATTGATACAGAAATTGTGGCTAGCAGGAGTAGGATGGGATGATCATGTACCAGAAAAATTAAAAGAAGAATGGATAACTTACCGTAAAGACTTGGAAAATCTATCCAAAGTCTATGTTCCGAGATGGTTAGGAACATCAAATAGTTCAGTCATAGAGTTACATGGCTTCAGCGATGCGTCAAAGGCTGCTTACGCAGCAGTTGTGTATACTCGTTGTGTAGACTCTTCAGGAAATATACAAGTCACTCTTCTAATGGCGAAAACAAAGGTCGCCCCTATAAGTACTTTTGGCACGGTTGTTGATCGATGTGGCGAGGGCTATGAATATTGACAAGGACAAGGTGCACGCTTGGACTGACTCTACAGTCGTGTTGGCATGGCTGAATAGCCACCCAAGCCGATGGAAAACCTTTGTTAGTAATAGGGTCGCGGAGATCTTAACCACGTTAGACGCAGATCAATGGGCACATGTTTCTACGAAGGAGAATCCCGCAGATTGTGCGTCAAGAGGAGTTTTACCGTCACTATTGCCTGAAAATACTATATGGTTTCACGGACCACAATTTTTATATAATGAAAATATAGAGTACAATAGACTATTGAATACAGATATTAACATGGAAGAGAATATTAAGTCCTGTATAGCTTTAAAACACGACACCTTACAATGGGAAAGATATAGTTCATTAAGAAAATTATTAAGAATAGTAGCGTTATGTAGAAGTTTCTTTTATCATTATGTCAAGGGTAGAGATATACCCAAATATATAAAACGGTCAGATCTAGATGAAGCATTAAAGTGTTGTATAAGGAAATGTCAAAGAGTCGACTTCGAAGTAGAATACATGCAGTTGAAAAATAATTCACCTGTTAATAAAATAAGTAATATTAGTTCATTGTGTCCTTTTCTAGACAAGGACGATATAATACGAGTTGGGGGTAGGTTACATCATGCATCATTGTCTGACAACGAAAAACATCCAATAGTTGTACCACATAATACACATTTTACTAAGTTGTTGATCGCAGACGCACACGATCGGACTTTACATGGTGGACCTCAGATAATGATTAACTATCTGAGATCTGCTTATTGGATATTAGGTGTAAAAAGGCTTACAAAGGAATATGTACGTAAATGTGTCATTTGTGTCAAAAATAAAGCTAAGGTTTATAATCAATTTATGGGATCACTTCCACCATCACGCTGCACACCATCGCGACCGTTTTTGAATAGCGGCGTGGATTATGCAGGTCCTGTTCAAATTAGGACAACGAAGGGAAGAGGTCATCGCGCTCATAAGGGTTATATTAGTGTGTTTGTCTGTATGGCCACTAAAGCCATACACCTAGAATTAGTGAGTGACATGACCACTCAGGGATTTTTAGCAGCCTTTCGTCGTTTCGTGTCCAGACGCGGTCATTGTTCAAATATCTGGAGCGATAACGGCACTAATTTTGTGGGTGCAGCTAAGGAACTTCGTGAGTTATCAGCGATTCAACAAGAGATTGCAAAAACCTTAGAAGATCGTAACACTACGTGGCATTTCATACCACCACATACTCCAAATTTCGGTGGACTGTGGGAATCTGCAGTGAGGTCGACCAAATTTCATTTAAAACGCGTCATAGGTAACTCAACACTCACTTATGAGGAGATGAGCACGTTGTTGAGCCAAATAGAGGCTTGTTTAAATTCTAGGCCGATGACTGTAATCAATGGAGAAGACATTCATGAACCTATGCCATTGACCCCTGGTCATTTTTTAATAGGTGAACCACTTGTCACTGTTCCAGATGCGAACTATGAAAATTCTAATATCAGTTCTTTATCTCGTTGGCAGTATATACAAAAAATGGTCCAAGCATTTTGAAAACGCTGGTCCGTAGAATACGTTAGCAATTTAGTTCATAGATATAAGTGGTCGCATAAGACTCCTGAGCCTCAGATCGGTGATATAGTTCTAGTTAAGGAATTTGATATGCCACCTGCTTGTTGGTTTCTGGGTACCATAGTGGAGAAACACCCGGGTGACGATGGCATCACCCGTGTGGTTACTTTACGCACTAGTAAAGGTTTACTGAAGCGTCCTACATCAAAGCTCTGTGTTCTGCCAGTCAATGAAGGAAATTAGTTTATTGTACCTATTTGAGTAATTTAAATGTTTGTTTGAGTTGTTAGTTTCATAATGTGTCAAGTATAGACCATAAGTTAAATTTCAAGGTTTAAAACTTTTAGTATGCATAGTGATAGGTTTAACTATATTTTTTAATATGTCGACTGTAATTGAACAGTAAATATAAGGCTAAGGTTCATTGTAATAATTTTATTTATTTAAGTTCAAGTGTAATACTTAATTAAGTTTACTTTGTTTGTTTACATTGTTATTTAGTTTAAGTTCCTAAAGTTCATGTAAGAATTATTATTGTAATTTTTTTGAAGGACATTCTTCAATAATGTCCTTGGTGGGCGGTATGTTCAAACGTCAACCGAAATTTAAATCTGTGTCAAATAGAGTTTTAGTTCCAATTTTGTAACTAGATGGTGTTGTTAGTTTTAGTCCATTTTCTGAATCGCGGTGTTAAGATTCTCCGCCGTTCAATGACCCTCGGCGAATGTTTTATAATTGTTCAGTTCAAAAGTAGATCGCAAGAAGATTGTACCTAAGTGTTAATAACAATATACAGTTCAAAGTACATAAAACAGTGGTGTGATTGTGTAGTATCCCTGAAGAAATCCCTGTTCAGCCAGATTGGCAGTAGTTGTAAAGTTCTAGTGCGCCGTGACCAAATTATACACCACTGACTCCACTATAGCAGAGATAAAAAATGAAAACAACTTTAAACGTTCGATTCAAATACATTTCAAATGCACAATTGATGCGTTTTATTGTGAAGAAGGAAAATATACATTATAAATGTAGTACGCGTTCCATCAATGATCAACCGAGACCTATTTCTGAAATAATAGCTAACTAAACATTCATCTAATGAGAGCATAACAGTAAATTAGAACATTATGATCCGTAAAGCGATTAGCGAGAAATAAAAAATTAAAAACTGTACCAGTACACACACGCTGAAATAAAACTAGGGATATAAAATATCCGTTTCAGATTTTCATCAAATTCGAATTCATTGTATGGTGTCCGCACGTCATAGCTGTCGAGTCATAAAATTTTCAGCATGTATGTAATAAGTACTTGTAGACGATTTGGCAAGGTTATGATTTAACGTCACTGCGCGCTTATTTACTGCACTTCTAAACAATTTATATTACAGAACGAAGGAATATATCGTTCTTGAAAGAGTTTTAGGTACTTCTGGTTGACTCATGCGCATGGGTAGGTGTTCGTCTGCCAAGTTGTTGTTTGTCAAACAACTGTTTGTTGTGTGATATTCTGAGTCAAATGTAGTTAAATAAATTCAACCAGTTACAATGCCCTGCGATGCTCGATAAACTACACCTCTCAGTCTCACTCTTCGTGATCTTCTTTAGCACATCCCATTCATAACTTTCTGTACCGGCTAGTAATCAAGGAAATTGGACCAAATTGTTTTTTAAGGACTCGAAAGTAAAGTAAAACTACATTTTAGGTCACATCTGGTCCACTTTTTCTTTTGTGACGCATAGCTTACCTAACTGAACTGTCAGTAAACAGAAAAGCGAAATCTGAGTGACTCATGCTGAGTGATGACTGTTGAATTTTGCAACTTTTTCAGAATAAAGAAAGTGAGGACTGGGAAGAGTGGGCGGAGATGGTGACGAGTGCGGCGGCGCCGCTGTTAGCAGAGCGATGCGCGGCCGGCGACCTGTGCGCCCTGCTAGCGCGCCTGTGCAGGAGACGGCCGCGGGCAGCACCACTACCTGCGCTCGCACCACCCGTACGAAGGGTGCTCACGCGCAATGTAGACTTCGCCAGAGCCCCCAACGGCAGGCGACTCGTTAGAGATTATATCAGGTAATTTTCAATTCTACTACATATCAGATTACCTACACAGGTAACAGTACTAAAATAAATATATTTTATATTGTATTATCATAGATAATTGCCATTAGAATAACCGTCCACAGAAAAAACATTACTAGACAATAGTAACGTTTATAAACAATAGACATTGTATGAATTACGTCAATCAGCATCCGAATTTAATAAACATAGGAAAATAAAACAAAATTTTGTTTTTACAATAGTTATAATAATACCTTTACACTTACACTACATACGTAACTGTATTATTTAGATCGACAATGATATTGTTTAACTCGATTGTGTCTGAAACAACCACAAAGTGCATTGACCCACGACGGTTAGAAATTAAAAAAATAACAATTAAAACGTTTTCTTCTTCACTTCGAAGAAAAATCTATGTAAGTAATAGGTACTTACCGCCTTAAAAATAGAATATTTTAAATAAATGAACTTCAAAAGATTTTGTAAATCCAAATAAAGTTGTCGAATACGAAACGAAAACGTAACCGTTAAAATTCGTGTCTAGTTCGTGTAGATGCCGTAACAACTGAAGACAATTGCGATTTGATGATCTAATTGTTAGTTGCCGTTATTATTCGCAGTTAGCCTGTTCACAGGGAAAATAAAGTACCTAATGGTTCCAGTGATGCCAGTGGCCTGCATAACTTTATACCAGCCTCGTAACCTCATTTGGTTACAATACACATTATTAATTGCTTTCAGCAAAACCAATCAATTCGAGTAGATACTTAAGTGACGTCAATGGATTTTACGATAATGCTACAGCTATAGATAGTCTTCGATCTCACCTGATGTGGTGGAACCAATAAGGTTAAAAGTGCAATGGCAACAAACAACTGTATATCCGGTAGTATAACTTATATGTTGGCAGTCCATAGTTCGATATTCCGACACCGATCACATGAAACAGAACAATTCAATATCGATTTATGTATAGAAACTGGGCATAAGTTATTCATAATCTACATGGCATATAAATAGCGTACCAGCGAACCAGACGGTCGAAGTCTCTATTTTCGATCCATCCATTTAGCCGATATAAATTTATTAGATATTTACCCAAACGGAGCTAATATAAACATGACATATCGAGGTGCGTTTGGACGTAAATGTGTAATGATTAAGTGCCTACATCGGTCAATTGATCACAACGACTGTCATTACGGTTTTGATCAAATTGACACAGTGGCGAAATTGGCTTAATGCCAGTTTAGCATCCTCTTAATTCCTAACATTTTCAATTGTCGAGACGGTCATTCCCGTTTGTTTAACGCAGTGAATGAAACTATTCAATAACTTAAATTTTCATTTTTCTCTCTCCAGTGCCTTGAGCGCGCATAACTCGGGCAGTTCCCTAGTCCGCCGATTCGTTGAAGTGACGCACGGGAACCGCGCGACGTGCCCATATCCTCGAGCGGCTCCCAACCTTGCTGCAGTCGCGCTGGCCGCATTGGATGACCACTACCGTGACTCTGCGACCCCACACGTCTGCGATGAGTCTGAAGAAGAAGTCTTATGTTTTGCCGATATCTTGGAACACATGTAAGTTGAATTAATGTAACTACAATGAGGTCTTTACAAAAGATTTGCGTAAAGTAAGAATAAGAAACGTATGCAGATAAATGAAAACTCATTAGTATTTTTAATTTTCAGGTGCGAGTATGAAGATTGGCTTGTCGTAGTAGGTGCTGTATTGCAACCAGTTCCTTTATGCGCGGGCGCTATGAGTTGCCCACGCGTCGCTAAGAGGCTAGGAAAACTATTGAATGCGTTAGCGCATGACCAACGCTGCGCGGCACACGCATGCGTGGCCCCCGCCCGAGCCGCGAGGCTCTGCCCACCGTCCTGGCTGAGAGCTGCAGCGCCCTCAGATCCGCTGCTTGCTCTGCCAAACGAAGAATTATGTCAGATTTGGGGAGATATGGTAAATCCTTAAAGACCTTTTTCATTCAAATTAGTTACCGGTGTTTTTGCCAAAAGAAGATTAACTAATTAGTTTGTTTTTATTTCCAGTTGGGAGGCCTGCTTAATTGTTGCTGTAAACGAAAAAGTTTCCTGCAGAGTATGAGCAAACAGCTTCCCGATTTTGTTTTAGTCGCATTAACCGCTCACGTAAGTACTGACTCCTATTGTTCACTAAGTAATATGGCCGTGAGCGCTATTAATTCACTAACCTAATTAATGGTTTTCCTTACAGCCAGCTGCTATAGAGGCTCTATGTTTATTTTTGGAATGGGAGGTTACAACTGGAGAGCAGACTCAATTGGAAATTATTGCTACGTTACAAGGCACCGAACTTGGTCAGAAATATTACAGAGATCTGTGCGAGAGACAGCAAAATCTTCAACGACTGGTGAGTTTTAAATTAATAAAATTGTTTAAAAAAAATCAGTAGTTGATGCCTAGATGCCCCAGTGAAGGTAGTTTTTACCTAATTTTGCATACATATTTTAAAAACATAACAAAATATAATTAAATATATCATTTACTTTTAATTCTAGCAATCAGAAGGTGGTCCTCGTCGACTAGCGCTGCCAGTTCGCGCGACTGATGCAGACGTTGCGGAACTGTTGGACGCCGGCGCTCTCGGCAACCTTGAGTGCCTCTCCCTTGCTTTCACCAGCGTCACCAGCGCATGTGCACATCACCTCATTAAGGTATGTAATAAAGTTTTGCTGACGCATAATAATATAATGTTTGTTTACTTCGACTTGCAAGGCCAAGTCTTTCAACAAACTTGATCGTGTTTTGAAATCTCGACCTTTGTATCTTTAAATCTCAAGACCTCAGAGTATTAACTCTTTTAGTTTTGTATAAACATCAATACATGATACTAGTTAGGTATTCTGAAAAAAAAAATCAGTTTATTTTCAATCTTATTCTTTTTTTCTCTCTCTTTGGCAAACGAGTCTCCAAAATGATCTTGTCGACTATACTGCCAGTGTCATTCAATCTTATTGTTTTACAGTAAAGTTGAACATTTGTAAATTATCTAGTATTGATTGTCACTAGTTGAAGTTGAAGAAGCATAATTTTCAACTACCCTCTAGCTCACTGAGTTCCCAAAGTTTTCTGGACTACTGATAAACTGTACCTAAATCAAGGTCCCAAGATTTGGACTCACCTTTAGAATATTAACTCGTTGAGTACCGTCATTATAGGCACAATTAAAGAACAATAGGTTGCGGTCACCGGTGACAGCTTGGTGTTTGACAGTTTAATATGAAAATAAAATACAGAATAGTTGGTTAGTGCATCATTCTACTGACGAACCACCAATGGGTTGCGACCCATAGTACCTACTTAACCTTGCATCTAGCTAATACTATCATTTTGGTCCAACATATTTATCTTGCATCATTTTACATGTACAGTTGCCATCTCTACGCTACTTGAACCTGTGGGCTACCAAGTTTGGCGACAGCGGTGTGCAGCTAATTGCTGAGCATCTTCCTAAGCTTCAGGTCCTTAACCTTTGTGAGACGCCCGTCTCCGACAAGGGAATAGAGGCATTATCTGGTAAATATTTTTATTTCGTCTAACGATATCACCCCCAACCATCTATTACTAAACATAGGTCTCCACCAAAGACTTCCATATATGTTGGTTCGAAGCAAACTGCTTCCAGTTGCTGGATCTAGTCGCAATTGAATACATTGATTTTCAGTAGATATAATTTAAAAGTAGTTTGGCTTTACTTACACAAAATACAAGTGGGTACCTACTACTGCATCCTACTTTTTATAATACAGTCAGCATCAGATTAGAAATCCTATCAGATTTTCAATTTTTTTATCAAATCGTTATTATTTTACCTCTCTTCTTTCAGGCCTCTCCAATTTACGGCGTCTAAATCTGAACAGCACCAAGTTATCAGCTGAAGCATTTGAAGTTCTACGCCAGCGTCTGCCCCACCTCCAGGAGTACGACATACGGTATACGGAGGCTTGGTGACAGCGGGCTGCCGCCGCCGCCGCCCGGACGCCTTCCACTTCCACCATATGAATTCACATACGATCTCAACGTGCTTTATCCCAGTATTACAATGTTCAAATAAGTTAATCCCACACGGATACAAATATCCAACTACCGAATATTATTAAGATTATTTCTATTACTTTCAATATCGTTATTAGTTTGTAACTATTTTTCACGAGTTATTTCATAAGATTCAAATACAAAAATTTAAAATATAGGTAACATGGATCCGGTATTGATATTATTTTACCGTTTTGCATTGCATTTCATTTGAATATTGCCAGGACCAGGTTGCCACATACCTATACATAGTATCGTAGTCCGGTATGTATTCACTTATAGTAATGTCATTTGCCGACTATTATGTTCTGTTATCGACCTCTATTAAAGGTAATCAATTCGAATTAAACTTCGTTAGGTGAGTTAAGGTTAATTTAGTGCGTACCCGAACAGGTGAAGTCGTGGTCCAATTTTGTTTGTTCCTAATATTTGGGCTACAAAATGAAACCAGCATTTGTTTTTATTAATCTGAATTTAGTTTAAGTTTACCAAATGTTATAATTATAATGTAAACATTTAGGTCTGCCATCCATGTAAACGCCTTAGTTTTACGACAGCCACTACATAATGTTATTTAAGACTATTTATTTATTGTCAACACCAGTTTAGATAATAAGATAATGTATATGATTAGGTACCTAGTTGATAATATTGCTTTAATTTAGTACTGTAGTACCTATGTGTTAGGAGTCTTTGGGCTGTGAGAAAGAGAACCAACCGGTACAAGCGTATTTGTGGAGAGTTAAAACGTTTTATTTATTGATTTTTATTTTACTTGCATTATCTGTATCTAGCATAATCCCTAAAGTCTAAATTTAATGTAGTTATATATCAAATTGATAGTAAACAATTTAACTATTCGTATACCTAAATGGTTAATCATAATGAATTGCGCATGAATGATTAATATTTAAAACTAAGTATGTATTATGTTATATTATCACTGAACTATTCGTCACTACGTTAGATACTTACTATTACGAAATGGTTTTATCATGATTTCCGGCCTAAAACAATAGACCTATTCTATTTACAGAATAAAACATTAAATTAGCGAAAAGACAAAGATGTAATTTGTAAATTTTGATCTTATAGTATAAATAAATAAAACAAAAAAAATCATTTTATTAGAATGTAGGTAAGTGAGACACTACTCAATTGTGTGCGTAATTGAGGTAATTATGGCAGTCGTGTCCCCGGTAAATATATATAGGCCGGAAACTGTTAGATAACACGTAAAATTGTCCTACAAAACACTAATTACTTTGACATATTAGAATACAATTCCACACTTAGATATAAATTTATATTGCGCTAATCACAAACGTAATGATGCTCTGATAATGACTCTAATATCGTAAGATCTTGCACACGAGTATAATATAGTTTAACGAGAAGTGAACTGAATTACTGTTATTGAAATTATGTCATATAAAGAGATACAAGACTTATCCACCGTGCGAAGGCAGAAGTGTGAGTTTTTAATAAAATATTAAAATATAAATTTGGTATTTTCATTTACAACCGACACCTACGCTAGATAGATATCTACAACATTTATTTATTTCATACAATAGGTAGATATAGTATTTTCCTGTTAATTTATTTTTTTCTCATTGTCCTAGTAAATAAAACTCGTTGAATTACCACAGAGACAAGTTCATAATTCAATAATTAATCACAATTTACTAAGTATACACAACGTCATAACATAGAACATACAAATTTTCAGAAAAAAAATTCATTGGGTCCAAGGTCCAATTCGAGGCCAATATCACCACTCGAGGTCCGAGTCCGAGGCCCACTCTATCCATAACTACATTATTTGCGGGGGATGTCAAACAAAGAGTTACGAATTTTGCTAGGACCTCTAAATTTTGAGACAGTTAAGCATTTCAAATGGATCTAAGGCAAGACTCCTATCATTGATAATCAAATCAAACCTTTTTTGAGACTCACCTTACCCTACTTTTTCGAGGGATACACTGAGAAGAAGAATGACCTAAATTATCACCGATTCAACCGATTGCCTTCCTACCATTACACAGTAGGGGCCTACCTGAATAGCACTTTTGTATCTGGGATATGATGTCGTACTGTGTTCCACAGGTCACGGTGTTGTAATATTCACTATGACTGGGTGGTGAGGTGGAAGTCTAACGAGTAAGGAGTTTTATCGCATCTTGTTATCAAACACAAAAACACTTTTTAACTTTTAACATGATGCCCATACTTCTATTACCTTTTTTCCACCCGGAAATCGAACCAAGACCCTTTGCTTGGATGCCTTTACGGCTATTCAGTTCACGAGGCAGTCAATATTAATTGTAGACAGCATTTTTGGTTTTTTTATCCCAAAAATAATGTTAGGTAGTAATATTAAGATTAGGTTACTGTGACCTAAAAATAAAAACATACAAATAATATTTACTAAGGAATATATTTGAGTAATTTTCTAAATACTATAGTATGTGTATGATACATAATTCTTTACCTTAATTTTATACATGTCTCCATCACTTTTGAATTTATTATCGACTTTCGTAATAGTTGTGGCTTCATGGTAATATACAAACCAAATTAATACCGTATTTATATACAAACCCAAATCTAACAATAACTTAAGCACTAGAGTTGATTATAAGGATTCGTATGTAGACCATACAATGTTTTGCATCAAATAATTTAACAGAATCCTTAGCTGTGATCAGTAAGCCGTATCTAGGTACTAACAAATCACATTAAAATGACAACACAATATAAATACTCATAGTTTTTGTTAAATTTTTATACAAAACAGTGTCGTTGCACATTGAAAAATTGAATATAAATACAGAAAATTTTGTTGTTATTGGCGTTTTTCGCAAATGTATGAAGAGAACATATTCTCGTCTGTTTATGGCTATGTTATAAATGATGCACTTGTATATTTAAAAGTACAAACTAAAAATTAATTAATTAATTAAATTATAGTAAACGAACCAACTATCTTAAAGTTACTGGGATATGAATCTCGTCTCGTTATCTCGTGCGCTATTAAAATAGCACCGCGCGTTAGTTATTGAAGCCCAGATGACATATTGTTATACCTTGAAACTAAAATACACCAGCCGTCATGTTACGTGAATCTAATTCGGCCACATATACAACATCTCTCTTCACATATAAAAGTTACTCATAGAAATATTTTATAATCAAATTACCACAAATTCGCTCACTCCCACGTGCAAGAAAACGTCCAGGCTCTTACTACGAACATAATGCATTCTGACTACAAACATCCCACACACAATTTGAATAATAAATATTTATAACAAAAACTAAAAACAATCATAGTATAACACCAATGTGCATTTTATAATATAATATAATGTACATAAATAAATGGCTATCCAATTTATTACTGAAAAGCAGATCAACATAAATATGAAACACTTATAATCAACAAATATCTCATTACCGTTACATAAAATAAATATGCAAACATGTGCAAACTAGTACAGTTGGTGTCAACAGTTAGTTATCAATAATAAAATTTCCTCAGTGTTGCAGACAGTACTTATGAACGAATGTGTAACAGGCATTTAAAATTGTAACATTTATTATATTATTTTATTGCAGTTCTATATCACAATGAGTGGAATAATTATCCCTTCAAGCACTTACATAGTGAAAGTGCATGTAACTTCACTGATCCCGCCCAACCACCCGCGCCCCCTAGCCTCTGTCTCCCATACATTATCTTTATATTATAACAGAAGACAAAAATACTGGTTTTTACGTACCGACAATATCAAGTGTGCATGTTATTTAATTCTCCAGCTGTACAAGCTTCAACACAAATAATTTTAAACATAAGTTAAAAAAACTTTTGTGCTATAATATAAGTTAAAACAATTTAGAAACTACACTTAGATGAGAATAAAATCATTATTGAAGGGTTAAGTTAATGTTTAACTAATTAACCCATTGCTTTCACATGCCTCATTTGCACGAGTTCGTCACTGCAAGTTGATGCAGGTTTTATTATGATAAAAGTATGTAAGTACAGAAAATTTTCGTCCCATTATTTAACCAAAACAAATTACATCAATCAAACACTTCTTTCTACATTTAACCCTTCAGTTTCATGATTTTACAAATGACTAATATAAACGAACATAGAAACAGTTATTTTGAATAGTTCTTAAAAAAATACAATACTCCCCATAATTTTACTTGACAATGTTTCACATGACTTGGATGAAATAATTTAATACTGGCTGAATAAAATTATAGAGTAAACAACATTATGTAATGATTTATGTATTTGTACAAGTTGATTTCATCCATAGCACACACATTACACCTTCAAACCATTATTATAAAATTTTCTGTTGCTGTGTCATTCAAAGATCCTTTTTATTAGTTGAATGTAAAGACGCTCATGTTTATTTATATTGGTTTTAGATTTTACAAAATGGGCTAAAAAGTATTATTTTAATTCAACAAAATTTACCATTTCCTAGTTGCCAACAGTGATGACGACACGCGTTTACCGCTATTTAGTGAACGCTGCAAACACCGCCCACATAATTTCGCAGGCATCTGGTCGCATGGCTTCAGCCTCGAAATCTAGATCTAAAAGCGCGCGCACGCGTCTCGTTGCTAACTCATAATCTTCGTCGGAGAGTGGCGCGAACGCGTTTTCTAGTACATCAGCTGAATGGGCAAGCATCAACAGCGCCAGTGATCGCTTATCCGCGTGAGCAACATCCGTGATTGAACGCCTCAAAGCTGCTTCTTGAACCTGTAATGATAAAATAGCTAACAATGAACATTCAACTGTAACTAATGAATACCACATCGTTATTCTAATAAATAATGTATTTTACGTAAAATCTACCACTCTGAAATTAGTATGAAATAATGGAAAGTATATTTTTTCCAATATACATTTTCCAATGTTTGCCAATTACATGGATACCCCTTTCTGTTTAAGTAATACAATAATATTTGCTTATGTTTTGGATGTCTGCCATTCCAACATTGCTTTCATATTGCAATAAGATTGTTTTGAAATAATCACCTGTTTGTGTTTTGTGAAATTAATAGTATAAATAGTATTGAATTCACTTGGATTTAAAAAGAATTTTATTGTAGTGTAAACAAAGAATATGTACTCTATGTAAAAATAGTTGTGTTACAACTATTGTTGATATGTTTTTTTATTATCTTTGAACATTATCTGTGTATCTACATATGAAACCAATTATATTAAAAGGAATCACTTAATCATTTCATGTTTGCAGATAGCATATTTATTTTTATATTATCTAAATCTAGTAACTTCTTTCATGGTCTTGTGGCAGTATGCGAGATACCACAGCAATTTCCTGATTCAAAAAATATAAAAATGAAGTTTCAAAATGACTGTTGTAGTCTACCAAGCTACTTATTACTTTAATGAGACAAATATTGTTCAGATTAAATATATAATAAAAAATAGTGTTACCTTTTTGACCAGGCGACATTTAACAACATTATCAGTCAAAGGATGGGTAGTCATATCAAATAGCAAAAAGTTCTGCTTTTCCGTTGTCAAAACTCCTTTTTCAACGAGATTTTTTGCAAGTCTCTCACGGACATTTTTCAACTGATATTTTAATTTCATTGGGTTCCATGTTTCACCTGCAATGGTAGATTTATTAGAATTAGAATATTGTACAACAATACACATTTTACATTCAACATTTGTCCTGTATGCACAACTGTATAACTATTCTCTATTCTAGTCTATTGTGTTATCTGCATCTATTACTTATAGCACTCATAAAATGTGCGCTATGAACGGGTTTATGTCTCAGAACTATAATAACTTTTTACGAGAGCAAACAAGATGAACACTATTATGCCTTATTTGGTCTAGTTTACAGCACAGAAAACCACTTAAATCTGAAATAACTACTTTAAACTAGATTCTGACTTTAATATTATCAGCTTTGAAATGGTTACTGCAACAAGGTTCGGAATCCCATAAGGGTTGCCCATGCTCATGGTTTTAGTCTGGTTTAATTTTGGAATCACCGCAGAGAATTGTTCAGTTAAGAAGTTGACAGCTGTAATATCGTCAAGGCAGTCAGGTTTATAAAGAATAGGTGTGCATTATAAAACAGTACGGACCACTTAGGTATTCTATCCAGCTTTGAACTGTCTCTGGTGGTTCAGTTTCCTTCATGTGTTTCAAGGCCTCGTCTAGCAATACGTCACCTGTAGGTGTATCTGAAATACACAAATTTTATTAGTCTCAATCTCAATAAAGTACAAAATCATAGCGGTTGATATTAAATTAGCTTGTTCAATAATTGAGGATACCTATTTTATGTATTTTATATTATTGTAGTTCAATCATCAAACAGTTCTATCAATCATAATGAAATTTGTAATCAGACTGGGGTAATCAATAGACAAAATTCCTTCAACTTGTGACTTACTTCTTTACCACTTCCAATTAGGTACTTATTAGAAAGTATCAGTCAAATTATTTGAAGAATAATGGGCTAATAATCAATGCAATACGGTGAAATAACTAATCAAGAGTTTATGACGTAAATTAAAATGCGATAAACAACAATAATTAGGAAAACCTTTCTCTTACCTGATTTAACTATAACTTTTCTAGATAACAATCCCTTTCTACGCATACCAGCTCTTTCTAATTCTACGCGGCCTCTCAGGCCAAGTTCGATTAAAATACATCCTCGCAAGCCGCTGGATATGCAATCATTCCAAAATGATGTGTAACCCTGAAATTATCATCATATGAGACGAAATGGTCACGACATTCACATCGATGTAAATGTTTACTTGTTCTCACGGAACTCTCTTACCTCTTTGTCCTTTAATCCTAAAAGTAGTACTTCTTCCATTAGTGTCAATCGTGTTTCCTTTGAATCCCCGTCATCATAACTTTTATCATTTTTCTTATCATCGACGTCGTGGTTTTCCTTTAATTCCGAATTGTCCTTAATTACGTTCACGTTTCTTCGTTGCACCAACCCCTCGGCTCGATTCATTTTAACATTTAATTAAATAGCAAAATAAAAACAAATTGATTTATCAGAGGCGAATATTTAGTTATTTTCTGAAATTCGTAAACGAATAGTTGACGTTTGCTATGCGACGTGATGTTGTTGTGCAAAACATGGCCGACGAAGACATTCCGATCGTTCTGAAATGATTATTTTACACATCAATAATAAATTATAAAGAAATTATTATCAACAATTTTGATTACTGTAGAATTTAGTAATGTATTGGTAGAATTTTATTTTACTGTAGTTACATTTTAAACAATACCTTCATTTTGCACTAAAATTTAATTTCCGAACGCAATTTTTTTAATATAACGCATGTCAACGCTTTCAATTTTCAATCGTGATTCGCGATCACGACGAAATGCAAAGATGTAGGTATTCGTGCATATTTATGTGTTTGAAACATTAAATATAAAGTATGCAATTATTCATGTATATTAGAAAGGATGGTTTTAGTTGACCTCCTGAATATCATATACCTACTGATGTGTAGAACTTTCTATTTCTCCACTAGGTACTTGTTAGATAGGTACTATAACATTAATTTAGCTAGGATGTCAGCCGAATCGAACCTCTTCATGCAGCAATAAAAAATATAATAAAAATACTAGTTATCGGGACTGGGTAAATATTTATAGTAGGTACCATATTTAATTACATATTGAGTTTTTATCGATTTTCGATATATCATTTAAACTGGCCAAAGTGTCATATATTATAGGTAAAGAAATGTAAAAAAAATTTGTTCAATGGGTAAGTTCCTACTGTATGTCGGGCTTTGATTGCACTAATGGCGCAGTGGTTGGGTGACCGTTGTTAGGTGGGTGTTGTTGAACTTATTGCGGGTTTGATTTTTGCGTCGGGTAAAGAGGGTATGCGCAACTGTAATTAGAATCAGTAGGTGTTTGAAAAATCGATAATATCTCATCCCCATGTTTCAAATAGCGGAGAGCTCTGTGTTAAGTCTTTGGACCTACTTTTTCATATGGGTACATTTAACATGGAAGTAAAGAAACAGAAAAATGTTGATGACTGACGTCCACATTCTAAGGTACTTCTCACACCGATTACCAGGCACTTCAGGTAGCAATGCGCAAGTAGGAAACACGTAGCAGTGGCGTAACCACAGGGCGCCGTTTGAGACCCGTGGTAAGTTCATCAAATGGGATCCTGTTCCCTCTACTAAAAGAGAGAAGTTCATATATAAAGAATCGATAAAAGCTAGTGTTGTATTTAATTTAATTAGGCATTTTTTTAACGTCACCGGCAAGTTACTTGTTCTATAATTACATGCTCTGGATATTCCTCACGCACTTTGCACGTATCTAAAGATCTGCTCCAGATACATTCTATGAATATCTACACTGCGATGCATTCATTTCGTCACATCTTTTAACCACCAAAATGATAGACAGAGGAACGTCTCTAAATATAGGTAACATCCACTTTTCATATCTTAAAGTGCAAAGTAATAGGGAGCGAATCTATTGCCTTCGTCCTGCACGACTTTAAACTTCGTAGTTCGTAGCACGGAGACTGAAATTTGAACTATATTTTTTTTTTTGTAGGTACTTTGCTTAGGGGTCGAACTCGAAACTCCTTTCTCCTTTAATATATCTGTGCTAGGCTTACACGTACAACCACATATATGTTAAAGAAGAACTTTTTTTAATATTTCTGTGCGTACAACAATCCAAATTATATTTAAAATACATCTGTATTATATTTGTAACATCTAGGAAATGAGTACCACCTGAAAATGTACAAATGACAACTTTGGAAGTTCGGATAGGCATCGTCGCAATTCAGAGATCGTTTCAGCAATGTGCGATCGGATAATTATGTTGCGATGTCAACAATTCTATCTTTAGAACACTGGAGAGGATTGCCAATCATGCGATACGAACCCACTGCTGGGACGTCCGGTGCAATGAGCTCAACGAGGGACTGATACAGACGGATAGGGGGATTAGAGGGGTTCCTAAATACAAGACTGGCGATAATTAGGTAGATACTCTCACGATATGGATGTACAGAGAAGGATGAAGTATAATTCTCTCGAATCGAATCCTTAATTATGAAGTTTATACCATAGGCATTGTTGAATGTTGTGAAGATGTATTTGATAACTTTCAAGTGGTTTAAAAAACAGTAGAATTTTTGTTATTTTTTTGAGGGATTAAGATCATCCAGTGACTTCTCCCGCCTTTGAGGCGCGAGTGTCCTGCTCTTACTGACTAAAAACCACTCCGTTCTTACTTCGGCATCGAGTAACCCGCTAGGTCATTCGCAGCCCCGTAGTATATTTGTCATGTCCTTGAAATAGATAGTGTTAATATCTACGATAGGTATCCTGTACTGTCTGAACGGTTCTTGTCGATGATGTCGATAAAATCATTTGGAAGTGATTCATTTGGTTTGCTATCATTGAACTTTGAATTCTTAAAAGACTCTGATATTACAATTAGTACCTACATAGATATAGTGAATTCATTCACAAATATGTAAGTACCTACCCATTTCTCATCATAGAAACCACTCTAGGCAATCCGCCTGCGGCATCGCACGTGTGGAGTTTAAATTTCTTTCAATCAATTTAATTCCAGCTCTTGCACTAAAGTTGGGATAAAAAGTATCCCATGTTACTCCCTGAAAAGTACACTTTCCAATGGTAAAAGCAATTTCAAATCGGTCAAAAAACAAACTTACGAAAATGTATATTAGATTTCCTCATTGGTACATAGGTACATATACATACCTACTAAGATAAGAAGCAAAGCAAAGGAAAACATTATTGACCTCATACACTTGCTCACAAGTAAATTCAGTGAAAAGCAAGTAAATATTTTGGATCATTTTCTCTATGACGCTTTGTATAGAGTATGCATGTAAAATCCAAAGAGGAAAGTCAGTTTAAAAAGAATAATATTTCATCATGGTATTTTGATGGCAGTAATTTGTTTGAAACGTCAATTATTTTTGCTAGAATAATAATCTTTAATTCATAGGTTCTTGTTCAAAACATCCATAATTCCTCTTGGGGGTCTTTACATAATATGATTACCGAGTAATCCATTTATGTATTTATCACAAGATAATTTAAATTACTATATCCACGTTAAGACCAAGTGCCTGATGACCTTAATTTGAACTTGGTGAGTGTAATGAAATATGTTTTGTTAATAAATAAGCAATCTATTAAAATTATTAGCTTATTATAGAGTAGGTACCTACTTGCCATTTAAAAAAATAAAATATATAGTTATATACTAAATACTTAAGTACAATTCCATAATTATCTTAACTTTCAAAAAAATCCAAATATATGATAATTTCCTGCTTTAATTTTATCACCTGTGTCGTGTTGTAATTGCCTACTGGGTAGATACCTGCAAGGATACCTTAATAAAGTAACACCTGCTAACGTATGGCATAGGTACCTACCAATGAACTTAATCTTCATAATTTTGATAAAGTTGCTTCGGTACCAATTACCACATGTAATTTTGGTTACTTTAGGTCGATTAGTCATGTCTTAAGTATGTACTTAACAGGATACGAGCGAACGGATATGAATGAATTAAATTTCGCCCTTAAATTCTGCAAAATTAAATAGATAAGATAATGCTTTACTTTTAATAGGAAGGCACATAACTAATATAGTGACAATCACCTCTGATTAGCCAAAGCTAGTGTTGTTTATCAGAGCCGGTTGAGAAATACGACGGTCGCGTGTAAACGACGCGCACTCAGTCATCTGCGCGGTCGCTTCCAAGCACGTGCACCGTGATACTATAAGTGTGACCAGTGTGACCGACCCTCGCACCATGGACGCGAACCAGCAACAACAGAATTCAACCGTACGTATTACTGAACATTTCTTAATATTCGCTCTCTGACCGTGATCGAATCGACTAATTATGAGCATTAGAACTTTGCATACAATTTGAATGTTATTAGCGCGCGAAAACTGAAGGTGTTCTACCATGTCTTCGCGAACAGTGAAGTGAACTTTATACTCGAGCTGTATGTGGTCGCGCAGTAGGGCAAATCGCCAGTTGGCTGCGGCACTCGCGTCACCTCGGTCGCCACAATACATGTATTTTCCGTTTACACGACGACCTACACAGGGTCAGCTGTCGAGCGCGTATATCTTTATATTTTTCCAGAATAATAGTCAATATTGACTAAAGTTTTCACATTGAGAACGTGCCATGATATTGCAGTGTAGTTAGTACAGCTAAATATAAAGTGCAGTGAAGGATTGTTCAAATTTTCTCGTTCTATTTTATGATTCAATCTCAGTTTAGGTAAGATTTTTATACCAAATTTTAAGTTATTGCATAGATAAATCCGTCATCTCCTGAATATAATAAACCAAATCATATTTACTGACCATGGAGTGGTGTGTAAAAGCAATTGTCGATGTTTCTCAATGACATTAAATTAGAACTCTTGGAGTGTTCATAGTACAATCGCTATCTAACTTTATCTGCGCCGAAAACTTGTTATTTGACGGTGTTTTCCGACATAAGACGGCCAAAGTTGACACACGCTCAAAACTCCCGCGCCGAACAATAACCCGTTACACCGTTACTCGGTCGTCTGCCCAAATTTACATAGCCATGAGATGTTTTGCATGTCTAATCGTACGACATAATATATTAAGAACTATGTCGGCGTCTACCAATCGGCTTCTAAGATCTTACAAGTCGCTATTACTTGCATATTTGCTGAAAATTTAATAACCTCGTAAATTACAAGTTGTAGTGGAATTGTAATGTCATAGCAAACAGTTTATATAATTATTTATTCTAATAGCTGTAGGTACTTAGATGTATGTATATGTGACATTAAATCATAAGGTTATTTTCCTCGTTCTGTCTATTAGGTAAATAAATGTGGTTCTCGATATATTTTGTAGAGTAAGCGTATCGCGTTGTGTGTGATATTTGAGTCTAATGTACACACATACGTAACACGTTAAACCGGAACTTAGTAGTAAATGACTTTGTGTAAATTTGAGGTATTTTTTTTTCTTTATTTGGACATGGTGTTCGCAAGCTAATTTCTCGCATAAGGTTGATAGTTAACAGAAGGATTATAACTTTGCACTTCACATTTACGCACGCAGACAAGCCTATATCACGCCATTCGCTGATAAATGATAACCGCTCTCATTATCACGTTCTTATCAATTCACATATCAACGAAAGGGTTATTATATTTATAAACGTGGATTAACCGATATGTCTTAACTAGGCACAGCGCACGAGTTAAGACATTTTATGAACATTTTGGGAAAATCCTAAAACTTAAAATAAACATAATATTCCGACCTTAATGATAGATCATAATCGCGTGTGACATAAACTCCCAAAACCTTGAATTTTATAATAAATGGTAAAATTATGATTAAATTGTCTTCAAAATATACTTTGTTGTAATTCAAGGAGAATAAGAAATAATTTATCTTACCTAGCTTTTTTGTACATCTACGTATAAAAAGCATTCAAATGGACTGTGGGACTTCCTACATTTACACTTTTTGAGTCAGACAAACCAATTTTAATTATTAAATGTTTCTCGTTTGGAGCACGTAGAGACAATTTTTTCAAAAGTGTTTCTTCATGAAAAGTTTAAACGTACATGGAAACAATAACATAACATCACGCCTTTTATCCCCGAAGGGGTAGGCAGTGGTTCACATTATGCCATTGTACAATGTAACACCCTCTTTTCACTATTTTAGTTATGAGTCCCATATAATAGGGGGTGAACCTATTGCCATAAACCGGGCACAATTCCAGACTCCGTGCTACTACTGAGATATTTTTTTAAAACCCAGTAGTACTTTGCCCGACTCGGGAATCGAACTGAGACCCCTTGCCCGGGGTATTCAAAATATACCTTATATTATAGGTACACAACTACATACATATATCTTTTATTTGTTATAACAAAAAAGTGATATGTTGTCTTATGTAATACACTTAGTTAGGTATACTGATAACGTGTGATATCTGTGACCCCACACGTTCACATCCGCGTTATATTATGTCGTATATTTCTGTAAACTTTCTTCACACGTACAATTGATATTAAACATATTTACAGTAATATATTTGGAGGAGGCCTTTGCCGATTGGCAAACAGATCTGCAAATGATCACCAAACAACAAATAATAGATAAATTTTTAACTTTAAGTTGTTTTTAAATGTAAGTGTAATGTAATGTAAGTGTAAAGTTAAGGATCTGAAAAAAGGCTATATTATTATTACAATATTACAAAAAAAAACACATCTCCTTTAAATGGGTAAAATAAATAACCTTATTTATTTTAGGTACCTACCTAATACGAAATACGATAGATAAACAAAATAAATTAAGCTTATTTTTTTAATACATTTCCACATTATTTAAACTAAATATCTAAATGGTAGTAAAGATAGACACCTTCAATATATGTATTTTTTTTAAATAGCAAAGAATCCTTTCAAAAACCGGTATTGATTAAATAATGATTTGATCAATGTCGTTAAAGCGAATGCTATAGTTCTAAATTCTAAATCCGCGTAACAAAAGCTATTTCTCCCAAGTAACTCGGTACAGTTACTTGCATAACGCACAGCGCAATGTTTTTAAAACTCTACACACGTGTCTCAGTATTATTTGTAAATGACATCAACGGAAACAAAGTGCCGAGCAGAATGACAGGGCACTAGGCACAGCAGAGTCATATCCGTTATCAAATAGGTACTAGGTATCTACATATAAATTCTAGATATATGTAACCAATATCTATTGATAAAATCAGGCATAAAAATAAACTTAAAACCAACTCATGTCTTCTAGTTTTATTGTCTTCACCAGCGCATGTAGGGGTTAAATACATACAATGATTTGATGTATGACTTCGGAAATTCTTAGTAAATACATGGAAGAAAGCTATGGAAAATTCTCGAATATCATCGATTTGATTTAAACTAGTAAATGTATATTCGTATTTTTTTAAACCGCTTTCAATAGCAGAAATGCGTACGAGGTCACTTATTCCTATTTATTATACATTACTTTGAGGTCATACTTTATCTAATCTTTGACAAAATTCATTATACCTAAATTGCTTATGTAATAGTAATGTGAAATGTAGACAGCCCTATGTGGCCTGTCCGATTTGAATATAATACTATGGACATATGACGCGAACTGGCCTTATCAATGCATAGGCCAAACCTGAGAGTAAATATAATTTGTTGTGACAAGAAATTGAATGAATGTTTACTAATTTGAACAGTTGTATGACACCTTCTGAAGTCCTAATTCAAAGGGACAATGGAAATTCAGATCAGTTCAAGACAGCTACTGACAAGGATAGGTGGTCCAGTTCGTTGGGGAGCTCTCTGTGAAATTTGAGTGAAATTTTGTGCTATCTGTGATATATTAACTCGATAAAATGGTTCGGCATCTGAACGAGGCGCTACTTCAAAGAATTGTAAATATTATGAAGCACTTTCTTTGTTTTATAGTTTGGCAACTGTTTTAAAACAACTACGTTGGACGTTACGATCTTGCGTAGTACACGCTCGTGCTGGCAAAATAATACATTTTTAGTAATATTCTTCACATATCGTGAATCATGTTAGTGCTGCAATTTTGAAATTTAATTTTCAAAAAAGCATTTGGTTCGACGCGACCTATTAAATGAAAATTAATTTGTCATATCTTAAACCAGTTTATAAACGTTTTCGATCAATGACGCACTTGAAAAATTCATTGTAATCACCATACATTGTAAAAGATATGCAAGTGTAATTAATTAATGTCAACGTATTGAAATATAATAAGTAGTGGTCATTTTCTGTGAAATTTGGCTTTGCTAAGATAATCAAGTTCAATAATCCAGTATTATTCTATTACTTCAGAGGCAAGAACTTTTGAACGTTTCAAAATGTAAATACGTAACTATAAAGATGGACAAGCAAGAAACTCCGTCGTTGTACATATTAAAAAACATAAACTGTATAAATGGTGTACATAATACTATAGTATTTATCTATCTATCTAAACACAATTTATAATATAAACTATATTAAATAATAGGCGAGTGTTTTGATAACATCAGTTGCCGTATTCCCGGACAAAGACACACCAAAAGAACTGAATTCGAACTTCAGATCTTTTTGCATGCATACACAATCAGCCAGTTTGCGGAAGGACGCCTATACAAAAACTCAGACACAACTGATTAATAGTGTTCTAATTAGAAATAGAAGTTAGTAGGTGACCGTATAATTTATCTCACTAATTAAATGACTAAACGGCGTCATTAATGTTTCAATAGATTAATTGATTCTTGTATCATTGTTCGGTGGCGTAATGTCGTTGCAAGCGAGGTCACTGTGTTACCTGAGGTATGAAATGTAACGACGCCTCATCAAACTATAATGCAAATCAAAAAGACCTCCCAACACACGTAAAGTCTGAATTATGGGAGGCCAGCATAGAGTGGTTTTGCTATCCATCAAAGATTTCGTCTATGCTGAGGACATTTCTTCACAGTGTAATCGGCTCTACGAGTCATTAAACGCTCGTAAAACAGTCGAATGTCGATATATTACATGCTTACGCGTAAAGTTTTTGCTAAAGATTCTTTCTTGCTACAGATTCTCAAATGTTTAACTAAAAAAATCTTAATTTTTCATGAGATTTATAATGAAAAGACTTCAAAAATATTTTAATATAAATTTCATTGATTACCAGATAAAATAATTATTGTTTCCGAGCTCTATCTTCATTAATAGACCGCATTTTGGTATTTTGATTAGTGCTATCTTTTCGAAGACAATAATTCATTTA